CTGGGTGGCTCAGTTGGTTAAGCGACTGCCTTCGGCTCAGGTCATGATCCTGGAGTCCTGGGATCGAGTCCCACATCGGGCTCCCTGCTCAGCGGGGGGTCTGCTTCTCCCTCTGACCCGCTTCCCTCTCGTGCTCTCTGTCTCTCATTCTCTCTCTCAAATAAATAAATAAAATCTTTAAAAAAAAAGAAATGTTTAGAAAGAAAGAGTGGTAGACTTGCATGCTAGTTATCAAAATATAAACTCGTGAAAATTAAAACTCTAAGAAATGACACAGGGTAGATATGGATCGTTAGATAAGGGTGGCATCCCAGCCAGTGAGAACAGCAAGGGCCACGCAACCCATGAGGTGGAAACACCCGAAACAGTTATAGCTGGGACTCTGCCTCCGTCCATCAGCATAAGGACACTGCAAACAGATTTTAAAATATTTAGAAAATAAAGGGAAATATTTTTTATAATCCTAGAATAGGACAGACCTACTCAAAACCTAGAAGCCATTAAAGTTTAAAAATACTCTAACCTAAAATTCTAAAACTTTAGCACAATGAAAGACGCTGCCTACAAAGTTGAGAGAGAAGCAATGTGAGGGAAGAAGAGAGAGTCCTACAGAAATGCTGATTTGAAGGGAAGGAAGAAGTGCTCCAGAGTCCCTAGATCACACTGAGCACCGTAAGAAGGAAAAAACTGGAATTATCTTTCTCCACAGTGAGAGAGATGCATCTTGAGGAGGTGGCCTGGGAAAGTTCTTTGTCTTTTCTCATGAGCTTTATGATGACAACAACATGAATCAAATGTGCTTCAGATATAAATCCCTTTCTGTAGCCACAATTTATTATAAACAAGTTAATACCACATAAATCATATATATGAATGGATATAGAAATATAAGTAAGGATGTTTACCAAAATGTTAACAGTGACTCTCTCTGCAAAGGGTTTTCAGATTATTTTTAACTTCATAGTTTTCTAATTTTTTTATAGGAGGCATATATTATTTCATATTCAGGAAAGAGTTAATATGATTTTGAAAAAAAAAAACCAGCAAGATATATGAAACACAAGTAACAGATTAATATCCAGACTGCCTACAGATCAGTAAGAAAAAAACCAAAGACCCAGTAAGAAAATGGGCAAAGGATAAGAACAGATTATTTATACAAGAAGAAACACAACAAATACATGCAAATATGCTTAACTTACCAGCGCTAAGAAATTAAAACAAAGATACCAATCGTTTAAAATTCTGCCAATCTGATAGAGTAAAAAAAAAAAAAATTATAATATCCAGTGTTGGCAGACGTGAGGAAAACAGATCCAGTAGAACACTACTTGAACTTGGAGATAATCCTATTGCAAAGTCCTATGCAGCAGTGAGAGTGATGAGGCAGCTCTATGTGGATGGACATGGAGAGCCCTCTCAGACATACTGAGTGTGGGGGGAAAGTTGTAGAAACATGTAGCGTGATTACACAGATTTAAACACAAACTCAGAAAATGTTCAATTTTCAAACACGTTGACAAATGTAAATCTGTGGAAGGTCTGAAGAATCCACAGCAGACTGACAACAGTGGCAAAAAGGGACTCTGTCTTTTCCTTCTATGCTCTTTTCCATTCTTCAGATCTTTTAAAATGAGAATGTATTTGTGTATTATTTGTATAATTAAAAAGTGGCTTAAAAAAAACCCCGGGAGTTCAATTTTCTACAGTTCCGTTTCCTCACCCATACAATGGCATAAGCACGTAGCATCAACTCTTCCTCAGGAAGGAAGACAGAGAGGAGGATTTAATGAGAGAACGCATGTAAAACTTTAAGCACAGAGCCTGGCACAGAAAAGTCCTCCAAGAATATTATAATATTCTGTTATAATACGGCATCCTTCTGCTCAGCTGCTCCTCAGGCTGACCCTTCTTTCACCCTCAGCCTTTCAATTCCTGATATAGCTCCTTCCCACCCTACATCCTCCCCTGATGGCAGCTTAAACCAAACCCCTCCTCCCTCCCCACCATTCTAACTAACCTCAGGGATCTGTCGGGACGGACCAGAGGGTGGTCCCGATCAGTGACCTCCTCCACGGCCTGAGAGAGGGCATAGAGCCCTGAAAGCTGCAGGTTTGTGTCCAAGCTGGATATCTGCACGGTGGCCACGACCGCTGCCACATGCTGATCCAGGGAGCTGCGCGGACCAGGACCCCGCAAGCCTCTAGCCATTTCTGAAATCGGTGAGGGAAAGGTAGTGGCTTAAAAAAAATTGAGGCTCCTCCAAGTTGGAAGTCTTTAAAGGTCAAGCCCAGCTATCCTACTGATATTCTAATACATTATTCATTCCTGTAGCTTTGCATTCAGAGCTTTTCCAATTCTGCGTGAGAGATTTAATAGCCAAACACTGAAAATGAAGATATTCTGGAAAGCGGAGCCTCCTTTTCCAGGGATACTGAAGGGAGCAGCGACTGGTTAGATACACTCAAGGTCAAAGGAAGGAAGATGGATGCATGCTTCCAGAGCATTTTCCCATGCAACAGCAACCTTAGTCCACAGCTCTCCTCTACCCTATTTCTTGGAGGCCAGGACTTTGCTCCAACTTCTTTGCCCTCCCCTCCCAGCACCTGACTCACCACTGGCTGCCTCCTTCATCTCAGGGGGCAGAGCAATCCCCTCCATCACCAGAAGCTGGTTAAACAGCTGTGAATCACTCTGTGCCACAGGGGGCTCAGTTTTTCCCTTGGCAGGTTCTGAATCTGCCTTCGGGGGCTCAGCTTTTGCTTTGGGGGACTCGGTCTCTTCTTCTGAGAAGTTGGCCTCTGACTTGGACTCCTCTTCTGGATCTGGGGTACAGGAGTGACTTCGTAAAGAGGACGAGATGCTTAGTTCATCGGGCAGCAGCCCATACTTGGTGTAGATTTGGGAGTTGAGCAGGTCACTGAGGGTGCTGCCCTCAAACCGAGTGCTGAGCACCTGCAGCAGACCCTCAGCGATCTCTACAGGCACGGAGAGGTCACCCAGGGCCTTGTCACCCAGGGTCTGTCAGAAGAAGAGGGTACGCATTTCAGGGATAAGGAGATGCGAAGATCTTGCGGACACGAATAGAGAGGGTGGCTGCCTCCCACCATGCCTTGCATACCAGACCTCACAGCACTTGTCTCCTTCCCCAGCAGGCCCCCCTCATACTCTCTAATCTCCATCTCCAGCCTCCCTCTAAGCACCCCCTTATCTAGAACTCCCTTAGAGAATCCCACCTCCAAACCCACTCCAAACCCAAGTATCTCAGGCCTACGATACCTCATCCAGGTTCTCCCGAAGATTCTGGAAAATTGGCTGCTGCTCACATATGTCCAGCTTCTTGATGAAGAAGAGCAGCTCCCACCACTCGGCCTGGGTCAGGTATCCCAAATGCTCATTCTTCTGGGGCTCGGGCTGGAGGTATGGCAAAGAGTAGAGCCCATCCACAGGTTTCCAGTCCCAGGAAGGAAGCGCTAAGGATACAGGAACAGGGGTGCCATCATCCAATGGGAACAGAGGGCATTTCGGAATCTCTGGGGCAGCTCCTACTCAGGAGTGGCTGCGTCCCAGTCCTACTCCTCTGTTCAGAGATATGCTGTCCATTGCCCTCCAAGGCCCACCTGTGCCCAGCAGAGGAGCCTCCGCCCCCTTCTCCACAGCTCCTGAAGCCGCATCCTCGGCAGCTTCCTCAGGGCCCAGGATCTCCAGCATGTGCCAGTGCACCCAGTAGGTGCGGCCCGTCGACTGCCAGAAGACCTGTATGGAGGGAGGAAGAAAGAGGCAAAGAATAGGCTTCTGAGCCCTGGGTGGTGCAGGCTCGAGAGGACAAGGCTGGGCCCAGAGCCGGGGCACACGGTCCTTAGATGCACAGCTGGCTAGGCTTGGGAAAGCCTCCACAGAGCAAAAGGCTACCTTCCCCTATGGGGTGGGCCCTGCCACTCATTTCCACCTAACCCTGATGGACTCTGCTCTGACACTCCCTCCTAGCCAACTCCACGGGTGCGGGCGCAGGGAGTGACTCCATGCAACAGCTCTGCTTCCTGGGTGTGGGTCTCTGCTTGACCTCACAGCCCACCCCATTTTCTCAGTCCTCCAAATTTTCCCAAGCCCTTCTCACCTGCTGACCCCCTTTAACCACTGCAATCCCCACGGGGTTTTTCTCCCAGGGTGGCCTACCAGAGCCCCCTGCATAGAAGCCCCAGTTATGCTCCCCCAGCTAGATCCCCACCAGCGTCCCCCACGCGCCCTCGCTCACCTGCACGGGGGGCACGCCATTGTTGCTCTGACGGAACTCGCCCTCGTCCCCAGCGCTGACCTCCTCATAGTCCTCCAGCATGCGCACTCGCATCCCGGCCTGCAGCGTCTCTCGCACATACTCACCATAGCCACAGCGGCTTGAGAATTCAGAGCGTTGGCGGAAGGCCCGCTCTTGCCTTCTGGGGGCGGCAACCATGGTGGGGAGCAAAAGGCTAGGGCCTGAAACGCAGGGCTGAAAGATGGAGCGGGCAGGCCGCAGTGGCAATGTGCTCTGTTCACTGAGGTTCCGGGCCCAGCCCATGCTCCGCACCAGCTCGGAGATGAGGTTGCCCACAGCCATACTGAATTCCAGCTCCCGCTGCCCCCGGCTTTTCTCCCGGCCGAACTCCCTTGAGGACAGGGAGCCTCGGTCTCCAGCCCCTGGCTCTGGGCTATTATTCAGCTGATCCAGCAGGGAGGTGACACATAGGTAGCGTTTCACCAGGGAGAAGAGCAGCTTTCCTGGGATCTGTAGGACACAGTCTGTGGTGTAGGTTCATCTTCTCCCAGCTTCAGCCCCTCTCCTTTCCCCATAATATCATCCTCTACAGAGAAACATGAACGCCTAGCCCCACACTTTGAGAAGGTCTCAAACTGTGATTTATAGAACACACAAGGAGTGTCTTAAAAGAGAGATTCCTGGGTTCTAATCTCAGAAATTCTGAGTGGGGGAGCAAGCATGACCCTTCATTTTAGCAAGCTCCCCAAGTGGCTCTGGTGCTGATGCATAATCCTGAACCACACTTTCAGAAGTGATGCCCTTGGCCTTGTACACGGCATTTCCCCCATAGCTGCCAGAGTACCTGAGGCAGATGAATGCCCTCAAAGGCCATGCAGTGTTCCTCAGAGGAGGTGGTCTCTGCAAACAGCTCCAGCAAAGTATAGCGGCTGTCAAAATCCATGTGCTGCTCGATGCCATCTTGCTGGCTCAGTGACAGAAGGACGTGAGCCCGACTCCCTGTAATCCACACCCAATCTGTATCTTCTCCTCAATGCCCAAGACTTTCCCCTGCCTCTCCTAGACTATCTATTCCCTACCCTAGAGGTTTTCAAACTTCTTTGTGACTGAGGTTCATGATAAGGTATACATTTTACATGGTAATCTGATACAAACATACCCACGTACAACTGAAACATATATTTAATGCTACAAAACTTACCTTATGCGACCTGCTAGTTATTTTACATTAAAAAAATGTTGGTTGTAACCCACCAAACTGATTTCACAATCAACGAATAAATCTCAACCTACCGTTTAAAAATACAAACCTATCCTATTCTCTTCTCTGCCACTGCACTGAAAATGGACAGATAAACTGGGTACTATTATTTTATTCTGTTTATATACCTGTCATAGTTTATTAATCTGTACATTTTTTTGGGGGGGGGCAATAAATTGGTATTCACCAAATGCTAGGTGTTCTTCCAGAGTTGGGAAATCCCTCCTCTTTCTGTTCTTACTCCTTGTGGCCCCATTCTCTCCAGTGCTTTCCTTCTTCCCCTGGCTGTCTCTTACCAGCATCGTGGGCTGCCAGAGCCTGTAGCATCTTGCCCGCACTCCGACGGATCTGAGGCTCAGGGTTGCATAACATGTGCATGAGCAGGTCCAGGGCTCCCGTCTCCCTGAAGACCCCAGTGAGGGGCCCGATGCTGGCATAGGCACTGAGCACATGGATGGTGTGGAGCACAGCAGCTGTGAGGCTCGAGGTCCCACCTTCTGCCAGCTGCCTGGCAGCCCTGCGCACCAGCGCCCGCACATCAGCCTCCATCTCTCCCACTGCTGTGTCATCCAGACCTCCTGGATCTCGGGGAAAGCTTCCTGAACCCCCAGCTGGTTCATGCTGAGGTCCCTTAGATAGTGCCCGCTCACCTAACAGCATGGGGCAGTTGGCGTAGACTTCGGGGGCTGACAGCCACATGAGGATGTGCTCTGTCTTGCCCTCTTCCACACCCACTCTGCCCACTTCCCCACACTTCAGAACACTCCATCGGATCAGGTATTCAGGATGCCCATCATGCCCAGGCCGCTGTCGAATAAGCTCTTCAGGATATGCTTGCAGCCGGGGCCCCAAGGGCACCATGAGGTCCCTGCTGCGCCGTTCCCCCACCATCCTGACCTCCTGGGACACACAAGGAGAAAGATAAAGGCAATGAGGGCAAGGGAAAAGACTACATGGAGGGGATGGAACCTTGAGACACAGATCAGGTGCAGGGTGACTGGTAGGCTGCATGATGGAATTTACAGACCAAAGAGAAAAAGCCAACGAGACAGAATACATAACTTGAATATATTTGGGGATTTAGAAGGAAGGAGAATGCAGTGGAAATGGCAAGAGGATGAAATGAAGGGGGTTAAGAAATGGAAGAGGTTGGGCACCTGGGTGGCTCAGTTGGTTAAGCGACTGCCTTCAGCTCAGGTCATGATCCCGGAGTCCTGGGATCGAGTCCCACATTGGGCTCCCAGCTCAGCGGGGAGCCTGCTTCTCCCTCAGACCCTCTCCCCTCTCATGCTGTTTCTCTCTCTCTCAAATAAATAAATAAATAAATAAAATCTTTAAAAAAAAAAAAAAGAAATGGAAGAGGTTATGAAAGAGGATAAGAACAAGAAGGTCACAAAAAGAGTGACAGCTAGGTAGGACAGAAGAGCAGGATGGCCGAGGGATACAGATCAAGACTTAGAAGGTAACGGGTGAGCAGGCAGGACAGCAGCATGGGGGACAGCGGAGCCAGAACAAATGAGGAAAGTCAGGGTGGAGGAGAGGCAGGACAGGGAGTAAAAATGATAGCGTAAAGCCGGAATGTGGGCCACGGCAGATAGAATGGAGAGGAAAGAAGGTTGGGCGGTGGGCCCCCACATCCGGATGGCTGGATGGGGAAAGTGTACCAGGGTATTGTGAGCAGGAGAGGGGCTGAGGGGGCCAGATAAAATTATAGGAAAAAAGACCAGGTTCCACCTGGCACATAAGTTGTATGTCTGGTGAGGGTCTAAGTCAGGCAGATATATAGGGAGGTGGTAATCATGCAGCTGAAGGGTAGGAAATGAGGTCAGGAGATGGTGAAGATGTTAGAAAGGCAATATATAGCACAGGTGAGACTCAGGTGTGACTCTGAATTCTGGCTCTTTGACTTACTCTGAGAGTACTTTTGGACAACTTACTTCACCACTGAGCCTCAGTTCCCTCCTCTGCAACATGGGGATAGTATTGTAAAGTTGTAAAAATCTGAGTAAGATCATGTATGTAGACCACCTAAAACAGCCGCTAGCACACGGTGAGAGCTCCCTAAACACAATCTAATATTATTCTTAGCTGGAGAAGGGAGGGGCAGTCCTCAGATAAACTGAGTTATTAAGCCGGAAAATGGTAAATGGGAATAGGAAGACGGCTATGCTGGTGATCAGGAAAAGGTATGTGTGGTATGTAGCAATATGGGGGTAACTGGGGAGCGGTGAGAGTAGGAATGGGGGGGGATAAAAGATGACAGAAGAAAGGTGTGAAGGGGAGGGGAAACATGGGATGTGGACCTCGATGGGGGCAGGGGTCCGGGTAGCATGGGGAGCGGGGCAAGACCGGGAGGTAATCGGTGATGTGGCAGTGGACAACCAATGACCAGGGTGAAGTAAAACAACTGATAAGCCTAAATGGGGGTCGGGGGGAGAGGGGGAACTATCATGGGCCTGGAATAGGAGCAGTAAACTGAGGTGTAGAGGTGAGGTCTGGAGCTGGGGATGAGACAGCTGGTAGAAGCAAGTAGCAAGGTCAGACCCAAGCCTGCAGACCATCAGGGGTGCCGGGGGAGGCCACAGGGCAGCGGAACGGCTTTCGGGGCGGGGTGAGGAGGGGGGGGTGCGGTCCGAGGAGGCTGACAGGACCGGGCGAATCTCGGAGAAAAGACCTGGCTCCCGTCATCAGCCCCACGGAGAGCGGGTCAGGGAGCGGGAAGGGGACGCGGCAGGGACCGGGTCGCCGCAGGACTCTCCTCTCACCTCCCACCGCCCGGCTTGGCCCTCGCTGGGAGCCAGCGGCCGGTCCCGCCGTCCTGGCCCCGCCTCCTCAGCAGCTCCCTTCCGGGTCACACGGCCAGGGCGGGCGCGGCCCGGCTTCTACGGGGGCCCCGGCGGCCCAGAGCCTAGCGTGGCGGAAGGGCGCGCGAGTGGAGCATGCGTAGTGGCCGCGCCGTTGCGCGCGAGGCGCGCTGCAGGCGGAGCCCGCGCTCACGGTCGCGTTGCTCCTCGCCGAAGTACGCAGCACTTTCCCTCCTTCACCTCGGAGCCACCTCTCGCATTTCCTAGGTCGGCCTTCCCCATGCCCCTGAAACCTGCACTCCCAAGCCTGGAGCTGTCTGTGCTGAGTTTTCACTGGATCACGTGGCCATAAGTTTCCCAAGCACTTCCCCTCGGCAGTGCTTTGGATTGGTTAAGTCACTTTGCCTATTAATTAAAATTGCTCATCTCTGTGTTGGCCTAAAAACCTAACAAAGCCACGCACAGAGACAAAGGCTCCAACTCCCCGAAATGTTCCTTCAGTTAAGTCGCAGAGTTCCACAGCCCAAAGCACCCCTTAGCTTTGCCGTTGTTATCAGGCAGCCAGGCTTGCTTCTCAGAGCAACAGTTTGGGGGTTGATACTTCCCTCCCTCCCTATGCAGAAAAACGGAGGCAAAGACCCCACAGTCTGTGCACAAAAATGATACATTTATTGAAAGAGTATTTTTTTTAATACAAAAGAAAGCTCTGTACATAGGACTGTGACCATGTCCACTATTCCTGGGTCAGCATCCCAGGGGAAGTAGAAACCACTGACATACTCCACATTCACACACACACACTCAGGCACACACACGCGCACACACACATGCACGCACACACACCCCAGAGCCACCAAGGAAGGGAAACACCAAGGGTTGCTGCACATATAAATGCCACCTCATCCCTGACGCACACATGTTCTCCCAAGGCCACGCTCACACAACACACATTATAAGCACTTTGCCTGATTCACTCACTGGGTCTGTCTCTTGTGGGAAGGAGAGGAGGAATTCATCAGTCTCCTCCCCTGGGCGGGGGAGTGGGGAGTGAGTGAGTGATCGTGGAGTGAAACAAGAGCAGAGAAAGGGGGCTGGGCAGTTACAGACCTGAGTCCCAAGCTCCCCCACTCTCTGGCCCCTGATTTGCCATGCACCAGCCTTGTAAGCCACCCATAAGCCCCAGCTATCTCCAGGAGAAAGCCCAGAATGGTGACTTCCATCTTGGCACCCCAAACCGGGGCAAGACAGCAATGGGGGTTAGAGGTTACGGGGGTTCTCAAACACGCCGGCAAATCATCCCCTTGATAACTAGGCTGTGCACCAAAACTTCCCCCACCCCTTCACCTAATTACAGAAGCAGGACTGTTCCTCCTGAAGGCAGTCACGGGGGTTAATAAAACTCCACCCCAACTGCTGCCCTGTTCTGAAAAAGCTCCCTTTCTGGATAAAGGGGGTGAAGGTAGGCTCTGACACAGGGTAAAAGACCCTCCCCCTATGCTGGCCCATCCTCAAGGTCTACCCCAAAGGGGGCAGAGTGGGGTAGGGCACGGCCCCTGTACAAATTACATAAATACTGAGGTTACACTTAGAAAAATAAAGTCATTTTCTTCAAGGCTTTTTGTCTTAATTTAAAAAAGTTACAGTAGCTGCTCACTCCCTGGGAGAGCTGCCCATTTCTGGCTCCCCTATCTCTATACTCAGCCCAAGAGCTGCTCCCATTTCTTCTGACCCCCATTCCTGCCTCTCACCCCCTCCCAGACCCCACCCTGCTCACTGCAACTTGGGCCCCAGGCAGCTGCAGGCCTGGGGGAGCACAAGGCTGCAATGCCCATGCGTGTGGCACAAATGAAGTCAGTTGCCTCTACCTGACACCCTCCCACCCCCACCCCCACATTTGGTCTCCCTCTTCCCTCTCCCTTGCAACAGCCCTAAAGGGCAAAAAGAGACCCAGGGCTATGGGTCACCCTCCCCACCCCGTTGGGGCATGGCCTGAGGGCCCCTCCCCCGGTTTTCTCCTGGAAACAACCCAGGACCGGCAATCCCAGAATCTCCCCTACACACTGACGGGCCCCGAGCTCATGGGGTGGCTCTGTCCCCAGAGGCCCAGCCAGTTCCGGGGAGCCCCAGGGCTCCCCAGGGAAGGGGAGTTTGGGCAGGGAGGGGGACGAGAAAAACGCCATAAAAAAAAGTTTAAATATTTTAAAAATATATATTTATAGATTTCACTTCGTCTCCTCAAATAAAAAGTTCAAAATCAACTTTAAGTAAAGCAGCTGGGGGGAGGGGTAGACAGGGTGAGAGGGAACCCTGATGGTTCCCTCCAACCCAGGAGTCCCTGGAGTCCCGAGGGGATCGGCAAGGCAGGGCAGCTGGCCCTGGGAACCTGCTCTGTGCACAGGCTCAGCTCTCAGGAGCTGCAGGGACAACAGGGCGGCGGCGTGAGGGAAGAAGCCCCATCTCCCCAGGTGACTCCCTTAGGGGCAGGGGTAGGGCTCTTTTTACCCAGCCTGTGACAGACACAGTGCTGACTTGGGGTCAGCAAGGAGGCTGGGAGAGGACCCCAACTGCTTCCTCAGGGGGAACACGGTGCCTAGTCCCACAGGGGCCTGTGTGTGGGAAGGTGGGGCACGGTCCCATTGGATAAGCTAATACTCATGGCAAACATGGCGCCAAGCTGGCGAGGGGAGTCTGAGGAGGGAGGATGGCCCCACCATCAACAGAAAACAGGAGGTGGAGCTAGAAGGAGGGGAGGGTGAGGGAGGGTAGGGTGGAGGGCAGGCTGGCCCATTTCTTTGGCTGGAGTGAGAGGGCTCAGTCCTGCGGCTGCCCACTCCTCCTCCCTGCCTCCCTCCTGCGGCCCGTCAACGTGTGTGTAAAGAAAACGTGAAAAGGCAACAATAAATAAGTGGTGCCATCCCTCGGGCCATCTGTCCAGGGTGGCAGGGCGGATCAGTCACTCTTGGTGCTGTGAGCGGCGTCCAGGTTCACCACCTGTAACTCGGTGAGGTTGCTGCTGCTCCCAGCCTGCTGCCCGATCACAGCCATCTGGAGGGAAGGGGGTGTGTGAGGAAGAGGGGGCAGGGGCTGACCAGGCAGTTCAAGCCCCCGCCCCGCTTGCCTGCCTGTCCACCACAGGCCTGACTGGGAAAACAGACAGGCCTCCCGCCTAGGGATCTTGGCTTTGACCAATGGGTAAATGGAATCCCCAGGGTCAAGATAAAGAAATGGCTGGCTGGGGCGCCTGGGTGGCTCAGTTGGTTAAGCGACTGCTTTCGGTTCAGGTCAGGATCCTAGAGTCCCGGGATCGAGTCCCGCATCGGGCTCCCTGCTCAGCAGGGGGTCTGCTTCTCCCTCTGCCCTCTTCCCTCTTCCCTCTCGTGCTC